GTGTCATTGATTGGGTTTTAGTGGCTGTCATTTTACCGGAATACGGCATTTGGCTTCGCCTCTCTTTCGGGATTTTCAGTACTCTCCTTTCTTCTTTACTTTTTGGATTTTTCAAATGCTATTAACTTTATGTAGTTTGGTCGTCCATACGATACGTGAAATGGGAATGGTTGATGAAGAGTATTTAGTTTCTGCACATGTTATTGACCATCATAACCACCGTTAGGAGACTGAAAATTTTAGAGTAATTTGCTTGCACTGATCCATGAAGTCAGTCATTTTATAACCCGACTGAACTGAAATGTCGTGGAGGTTCCCTCTGGTTTACAAGATACTGCACATTCAGCGCATTGTATCACCGACATTCGATTGTCCACATTCCGCAGATGGTCATTCTTTTGCTGACTCATCGCCACAATCCCCTTATTGATACTGTTCTCCTCTTTTTTTTACTTTCTTTACGGTGAATCAAAAGTCAGCAAGGAAGGATGCAGATAATGCGACCGATTTAGACCCCTTGTACTTTTTGCATCGATGACGGGGTTGCTTTCCGCGTCCATTTCTGTTAAAGAAAAGTACATCGGTGTTGGTAAACGATAATTTGCTTCACCTCAAATCCCTGGACAATCTAAACGGACAGTAATGTGATGACGGGCGTTAGCTCCTAAATGGTAGTTTTACTCTTCTATGGAGGTTTGAATTCCCTCAAATTTGTTGCTAATCATTTAAAAGTTGACGATTGAACATGAAAAGGGCTGCACATCTGTCGCGTAAGTGTGAATCCCTCCCAAACTTTTGAATCGCTTCATTGACGACTCCACCTAAAAACACTTCTGTCCACATCTGAAGCGGATTTGTGCTCCCGAAAGGAATGCCTTTCAGCGATACACCCAGCGCGTGACAGAACACTACCCTTTCCTATTTTGTGCAAAATATGTAGTAGACTAGTGGCCCTCCTCATTCCTTAATTGCAATTTTAATAGCCGATCAGCTTGTCACCTGGCGCTTTCAGATACGACTAATTACTCCCGCCTTTTCTGATTCCAACAGAATCAGTAGCTAGGATTCGGTTTGGTTTAGACGCAAGCAAAAAAACATGATTTAGTTAGGCTGAGCTCTAGGGCAATTTCTGAAATTTTCGTGGCTAGATGTACAACCAGTATGGCCAGAGTCGCAATCATCCAACTTGATGCGTCACGCTCGATACTCATGGCCGTCTGGCTTTCAATTCAGGATTCCTTTGTGAGAACATTTGTTCTCCACTGCAAAGTGGCAGTATACGCATAAGTTCATATTAACCTGAAATAAACATACAAAAGTTGTGGAAGTTTCGGTGCAACTCGATTAATCTGTTACATAGTTGGCTAACCAAACCGTCATACTATTTTCCCTTTCTTTACCATGAGTTCCGCAAGATGCCATGCAATCGGTACAAGTTTGGTGCTCTCACTAATCTTTTTTAAAGACGAATATCTACCCCAACTGGATCCAATTTTAGCGTGGAAATGCCGACATTCAACCTGATGTACGGAGGTCCACCCATGGGTCCAGTGTCTTCAATGCTCTCAACAGGTCTGTACGGGTTCGGTATGAATGGTGCAACCACACCAAACGGGGTGGGATTCGTTCCTCCCCCCGCCTCTGCCGTTGTTTCCTCCCCCAACTTGCCCGCCCCCTCCTCTGCCTCCATCGGGAGCGGACTTTCATCAGGTCAATCCGCTCCGCCCTACTGGCAGACTGCGGAGCCCTCACTACTTGCCGCGTGGACTACCGCTGCTGGTAGTGGTGGTAGCGGTGGCGGCGCGGGTGGTGGTTATCTTCGACAGGCTGTTTTCACTTCCCAAGCCGTTCTTGCGAACTCATCCTCCGTTGGCGCTGCTAATAACAACAATAGCACAGAGAGTGGTGGCGATTTGTTGAAACTGTTCACCAATCCCTTCGCGGATGTAAGCCTCCTTTGATTGTTTTTATTTAATCTGGAGTATCCGGTGAGGAGAATGGGAGGGGAGAGGAGATGGGGGTTTTTATACCATTTTTTAACAAAAGTAGCTTTAAATATGAAGGAGACAACTTCTTTCTTTTTAAATATTAACCTTAATAAATTCCGATAATTCCTCGCCCAAAAATACGCGAAGACTGGGCCATGAACCTAGGCTAGAAAAGGAATATTCTTCACTACCCTGGTCTTGAGTGGTGCCTCAACATTTACCCTCACCTCTCAGATGCCAAAGGATATCTCTGCACGGGAGTACATGCGCGGATTCGTGATGCGAAAGTGTGTAATGGAATCGTACGGTAAACGAAGTACGTTTTTTTCTATCATCCCAATATTTTGACTTCGTTCCACTTTTTCACATTTCGCTGTTTGTCCATTAAATTTTTAAGGGATAGCAAGTCAGCCCAAATTGCCTTTAATAATCCCCCTTGGTTGTAACTTCGATGATAGCATTGACAACCGGAGTGAAATTTATGTCATTTGCCTCGATAAACACTTCGTTTTTTTAGACAGGTATCTTTCCTCCCCCCTCTCCCCTTTACATCGGTTCTTCCGTCAAGACTTAACAGCGCTCGTCCTTAACAAGATCAGATCACTACTTTATTACTAAGATTTTAGCACTTTGTCAGATGAATGGCTAAGCAACTGCTGACGGGGTAGCTTGAGCTCAGGAGCCTCGACTTTTGCGTCTGACGCTTGGGCCGTTGTACTAAAAGTGTCGTTTTTCTGCATTAGATAGTCACTGATATTGAAATTGGACTTCATTGCTATGAATCTTAAAGGTAGCCACCATATTCAAGGAATAACTCATTGACGTGAGTGCTGGATAGTGAAGGTGAAATAGAAATAGAAGGAAGGCTGTAGCATCCCTTTTCAAGCTTAACTGCAGTTTACAGGAAGTAAACACATCCCACTGGTCTACTTTCCCTCATAGTGAAAGGGACTGTTGTAAATGAGTGAGAATTTTTTCAACGATCGTGTGAGTGAAATAGATTAAAAGAAACCTTGCAGTCAGCACTGCTTCCCCCAAGTACCACGTTATGTCAACTATGCTAATTCTACCTCTTCAATAGCGGCAATGGGCAAACGGGGCTGGAAGCTTTTCTACGCCCGCCTGCGTGACCTCATGCTCTATCTCTACAAGGACGCCGAGACCGCAGCTACGGCCACACGGACAGAGGAGATGGTTCTGAGCTACATGAAACAGGTCTACCGATTTCAACTCCACTGCCAGCACCTCCGCTTCTACCACGAACATCAACAGCGACTCCAAGCATCTCTGACATCGCCCGCCCCTCCTGTCAGCAATCCCCCCAAAAGTGGCGACAGGTGAGTGTTCATTTTTTGACAGTTGTAGCTACGATTCCTTTTGATGCTGGTCTCTCTGGCTCTCTTCAGAATTTGCGCTGGCTTCTATGTGGCTATCCTGAGGAGTGGATTTACGAGAGGGATGCTAAAGTCAAACTGGGAATTTTCTCAAAGTGAAGACTGTGCTTACCTTTTTCGACTTCATCCGCTGCTACATATGCACAATACATATCCTGGCGTTTAACTAATACCCGCAAAGCTCTTTTTGCATAGAAAGATCAATCACCACATCGGGATCATCCCAAGATAGTCTGCGTCAGCAAGTGCTAAATTTTCGAAAATTACAAATGGCGGCGCTAGTGAATGATAGCTTAGGGAAGATTAGTTTCCTGTACAAATTTATCACGATGAAAATGCACGTCGATTCCACTCCTAGTATGTCCACGGGAATGATTGATGATTAAGGGCTAGGGATGGAACCAAAAGCGTAGACATCGCTGGAGCTGTACGGAATGTAAGCAGTCGGATGTCATGGAAATATTGGCACCATTGAGTCAAATGCTTATCGTTGAGCGCTTGAACATCATTATTTCTCACCGCACTGTGTCTGATTGAAGCCTCCTGTGGGCAAGAGTGGGCATCTACGGGTTGGGGTTTTGTGTGTTTTTCATGAACGAAAGACTTTGTTGATTACCACAAGTTTGCTGTACATACGCGCTCACGTGCGCAGTTACGATGGCTCGTTTTGGGCGTCTTGACACTGGATGTTTGGACCGGACCGGACCGACCCCCTAACACATATGTATGTCGGCTATTGGTACGAGTATAAAGACAGGCTTGCGACGTGCTACTGTCTATAGTACCGTCACAGCAACATACCTTTTTGTGGACTGAATGTAAAATTTAGATTTTTGTTCTGATTTGAATGGAGTCTGCGTGTCTTGTATGGAGGGAAGTCGTTTTATGTTAGAGTCACCTATGGGTGCATCTGTTTGGGCTGATGCATGATAGTCTTGATTTTAGTCCGTTTTCATAACAGCGGCTATAATTTCCTAATAACCGTAACTACTAATGGTAAAATGGGTGGATGGCACGATAACTACCAGCGTCACGTATCCGTAATAGTCTGAATTTCTTTCCTTTCTCGTCGTCAAATGTCTGTGACACGTGATCTCCATATGTTTATGATAACTAGCTGCATAAAATTGTATGTTTCAGACAGTTGGGTTTTCTTTAAGACAACAAATTAGGCTTAAGATATTCTCAGTGTGAAAGTGATTACGATTTTTTCCTGTTGTTAAGTGGACAAAACATCTGAAATATGGTAGATGCTTGTTCCCCGACACAATTTCTGGTATCGACCATCCTAAAAGCAAAAAACACTCATAGCTACCTATTTTTAGTGTATATTACCCATACTTGATCGGTTACAACGAAAAGATGAAAACTACCTACGATAAAGTAGAGGAAATGCCTGTTGAAAAACAATGTCTTGAAGATTTCTTGAAAGCGTTAGATTTAGTAATTTAACAGATTTGATTGTCCGAATTTCTGGAAGTTCTGAAAGCCCGTCTTATGCATGGCCGACTTCTTTTGAACCTCTTCGATTGTCCTCCCTGTGATCGCTTTTCCGCTTCATCTGCTACAAGTCCTCCAGGGAATTGAACCGAAGATGATGGGTTGGGATTCCCACTGAAGGTTGGACAATGTTCTACGGCGAGGATGTTGTCTGTGTCGCTCGTTGTTCGCGGTAAAATTTGTTCCCAGAATATGATATAAGTTGTTCCGTTCCGGAAAATGCATTAAGAACTTAAATTCTTTGAAACTTGATCTCGCGCCATTAGCTGTTATTGCGCAGGATACAGAACCGAGGATTTGCCAAAAGTCAACCTCATTTTGATAATCCTTTTCTTGTAAGTCTTTACAGATGCAACCACCCTTAGTAAATACTTTCCGTCATTACATTTTGATTTGGCAACTATTTAACAAGACGAGGGGTGCTATTCATTTGGATTGCATTCGCCTACTGCAGTGGCTAATGACATGGGTTGAAAACGTAATAAAAGGGTTTGAGAGAAGGCTAATCACCAGCGCTCAGAAAAACTGGGTTGGGGGAGGGACGGAAAATCCTGACAGCATTGGGGAACCCAAGAGCTTACTTTGGTAAATTCTATTACTTCACTGCAAAAGAACCGCAAAAACCTGGGAATTCTTTATGATTTACTCTCATTTCTTTAATTCCTATTCCAGTTCGTCATTCACTGAGAGCACCGAGTCTGCTTCAAAAATGAATGATGAGAAGGTTGAGGTGGTGGAAGGCGTCGAAAACACTGACGAAGTAGTAGAAGGTAGGAAGAAGGGGGAGATAAATTCTGGACAATCGCCTCCACCACCACTACAGACACCGAAATCGAATGGTGCTCCGACGATGCCGAGTGTTCTGGAGCAACAGTTGGCAGCTGCGGCCTTCCAACTGCCACCCCCTCCACCACCGCCACCGCCACCAGAGGCTATCATCTGCATCGCACACGCCTTCGCCTGCGTCGCAGAGGACTACGTGAAAAAGCCCAACGTCTTTCGTCTCAAAACCAAGGATGGTTCGGAGTACCTCATGCAGGTTAAGTAAGTCGGCAACAGCAAATAGGCAAAAGGACTAGAGGAAGAATCAAGGGTCAATGGGAATTATTACCCTTTCCTTATCAAGCGCACAAAAATTTGGCGTCGGTAATGATCGTGGTAGTATTGGTGGTGCTGGAGTTTACTGCATGTCATCCATTATAGTACCTTTTCTCTTGTTACCTGTTTTACTATTCATGTAAATTGCCATTTACGAATGATGTAGTGGGCTAACAAATGTACTCGCTCCTACGTGTGCAGGCACGTAAATAGGAATTCATGTGAACGTTCACATAGAGAGCTGAAAGAATAATTGCAGTGTTTAATCAATGGTCTCCGACTGGAATTGTTGCACACGATGTTGCATCTTTGGATTACCTATTTACCTCCCTACCTACCTATCAATCCGCGCAACTACCTATTCACCCATCTACCTGTCTACCTGTTGGCTCCATTCCGTGATGCTTGCGATTAAATTGTAAGTGAACTCCAAATTCGATGGTAGATTGAAGAACGTCAGGTTGTCTCGTTTCAAAGTTCTAGTGAGTTTGTCAACTCTTCATCTCTTACTTTGGTTGTTTCCATTCCATATTGTTTGGAATTCCTAATTACTAGGATGACTACGCTAAATTTAAAAACATGGACTTCGGTTACGTAGCCTCTATCCATCGTTTACTCCATTGCTGTGCTTTGCGTAAAGGCGGTTGAAAATAGGGACTGTGAGAACCGAAGGTTGGTTTCACTGGTCAAGCGGCGTCAGTTTTGAAACGAACTGTCAGTGGGTTGAAATGATGTGCGTTTGACTTTGCGAATAACCAAACCCCCTTCTATCACTTTTTGTTTTCGCCCATTTCAATATCGCTTAAAAGCGGTTTCCCAGTTCTCGGTGAGTATTTCTGGATTCAGCTAGGATAGCGACCGGATTTTCGAAGTCCCATTGTTTGTTTTTTATTTCATTCCGTAACGCCTGAAGTTGCTCTTCACTGATTTCAAACTTTGTAGACAGGCCTGGGAATGTTGAAAGGATCTAGAACCCAAGACATTACCGCGTCTTGGATTTTTAAAGATCCTACCGGTAATTTCTGGATTCTTATTTCCTTCAAGTGTGACATCGACAAGGTGTCAACCCACTTTCTTAGGTTTTCAAGTTCCCAAGATCCAACCTTTGATTTCATGGCGTTTAAAATCGCTCTTCCATTGGCTTCTAAATGCGTATGGGTGGTTTAAAATGGTAATATATTTGTGACTCGGAATTCCAAAACTGCTTGAATAACGAATCGGACCATTGGATATTTGCGTTGCCTATCATTTCGTAGATCTTGAGATCCTATGGGTATTCGTGGGCAGGTTGACAGGTTTGACGTGAATTTGATAGGAATCCGGCCGGTCGTGCAAACTGTTTCATTTCAAAAGTCCAAGGCTGTAAATGAACTTTCGATTCTCGTATTTTGTTTACATTACCATTTCCTAGATCGTATGTGCATCCAATCTGACTGTCCTTTAGCTTCCCATCGAATGCCGAGTTTTTATCTTTGTTCTAAGACCTTGAATCTTGGTACTAAGTCGTATAATGCCGTAAACGATGATACCATTGATACCGCCATATTTGGCCTAAGGTCGGGTTGGCCTTCATTTCTGCTTCACCTTCGCGTTCGTTTATAAACTGGACCCGGACGTGTAGACGCATGACTCATCTGCTTCACATGAACACCCTGCACTGCTGAAGCCTGATGGTGTTAATTCTGGATGCAAGCGCTTCCAAGGCGATTGATGGGCACGTAGAGATGGATGTTTCAGTGCTCCTCCTTTTCCTTCTAAAATGGAAAGGCTCTCGGGCATCTTTGCAACGCGTTTCCTAAGGGAGAACCACCACACAAAGTAGCTGCTATTTGTGGAATTTCCAATTTAGCATTGTTAAGAAGTACAATGTTTCGCATCAGCATACACCAATTAGACAGTACAAATTGCGGTTTTGCTTGGCGAACCTGTCATAAAAGGCGCAACCATCCTGCTGACTCACCAAAGTTAGCTACCATGTACGATTTTGCGATGTGGTTTTGCCAGAAATCACATAAATGTAGCCATCCCTAGGCCCCTCATTTAAGACGCTACAAATCGCACGCGTCTGGATAAACGTACATGAATGGCGGGAAATTGAAGAGTTTGGGCAATTGAATGTACAGCTTAAAAAGGTAGCGATTTGTTAAGCAAAAAAAGTGCAGTCCTCCATTTTTTTCGTCGTAGTGATGCAAAGGAGTTGGAGTACTGGGTGGATAAGATCAACTACGTTGCGGGTCTCCTTTCAGCCCCCTCTCTCCCCTCTGCTGTGGGCTCCGATCAAACCTTTCATCGACCCATCCTACCCGCTGGGGTCACGCATTTGGGACTGGTGAGTTTGTCATTTTGTTCCTTTTCTTGGGCATATTTTGCCCTCTCAACGATGATTTTAAGAGTGCTAGCATTGCGAGGTACCCATGACATGACTAAGAAGACTTTCTACAGAAATCTGTCCTTATGTTAAAGACAACTTATTAGTTAAGATTCAACTTCGGAATTTATCTACGTAACCAAAAGTGCAAGAAGGGAATTGTTTTGCTGGAATGGAACTTGTCATCCCCATCGCCCTTTATAAGGCTGAAGGTCGATCTTTAATGACTTCCAAACTTTCGTGGATGGTTTAAAGAGCTCTGCGTAGTTACAATAAAACTGGTTTTTATTACGCATTTGTGTAACGAAATGTCGGGAATATTGTTTGATTAACAAGTGTTGTGAGCACCACACTCAATTTAAAGATCTTCCAAATTGTCCATCAATGTGACTTCTAGATTTGAAAGTAGACCTAGGGATTGAGCGAACTTTGGAGAATCTGGTGTGAGTGATACAACCAGTGGCTTGCCACCGACCTTTAGACTCTGATGAGAGGATAAGTGGGCGGGTAATTGGGTAAGTAGGTAGATTTGGCAGAACTTGGCAAGCGATCCGACATATTTCACAGGTTGCTGCATCGTGAATTGTAAAAAATTTCCTGGTTTGTAGGGCGTCTGTCCTTGGTTTCTACCTTCCCTAAAGTCTTAAGTTGAATGACCCAAAAACGTGAGTCACTTGTCCGATTTACAAAGGTCTAACATCTATCCTTGACCTGGCTAGAATGTTATATCTTTTCACGAGTCGATCAACACTAAAACTATGGGTGAAGAGGATGGATTCGTAAGTAAATGCACCAATTATTGTTTCATGTGGCAAGATTTCAACACTCGTTCCAACTCTAACAGAAGC